GAAGTCCTTGCCTATGCCTATGTCCTGAATGGTTTTGCCTAGATTTTCTTCTAGGGTTTTTATGGTGTTAGGTCTTATGTTTAAGTCTTTAATCCATCTGGAGTTAATTCTAGTGTAAGGTGTCAGGAAGGGCTCCAGTTTCTGCTTTCTGCACATGGCTAGCCAGTTTTCCCAACACCACTTATTAAACACGGAGCCCTTTCCCCGTTGCTTGTTTTTGTCAGGTTTGTCAAAGATCAGATGGTTGTAGATGTGTTGTGTTGCCTCCGAGACCTCTGTTCTGTTCCATTGGTCTATATCTCTGTTTTGGTGCCAGTACCATGCTGTTTTGATTACCGTAGCCTTGTAGTATAGTTTGAAGTCCTGTAGTGTGATGCCTCCCACTTTGTTCTTTTTGCTTAGAATTGACTCATCAAGCTTCCAATGACATTCTTCACAGAACTGGAAAAAACCACCTTAAACTTCATATGGAACCAAAAGAGAGCCCGCATAGCCAAGTCAATTCTAAGCCCTGGACTATTTTTTAGAACTCTGCATGTTCCACTGAGACCCTCAAGCCCCAGCTCCTGATGTTCTAAACAGGAAAGTCTTTCCTAGTGAGCACTGTGGCATCCCTTGGCATCCCCGGCTTCCTACGGCTCTTTCCCACTAAAACAGCTTAATGCAAAGATGTGCCTTCTTCAGAATGTGGTTCAAGAGCAATGACTGCCTGAGGCCTTAATTCCAAAGCCATGCTTTAATTTAGGGTAAACTTGAAATGCCTTCTAGCTGAGCGATCAGTGGTAACACATTCCCAGTCACGCCTCCCACACTTCTTTCCTGAGAGTATATCCTGAAACTCTACTGCATGGAATCCTCCCTCTCAGAGTAGGATTCTAGGGAACTCAAAACATTAAAAAAAAAAAAAAAACAGTCTAGAGTATCAGAAAGTCTAGTGGGAAAAGTATCAAAAAGAAGCGAATTGCACAAAGAGAGAACTCTGAAGTCTGCAAATATTCATGCACTGATGAGCACTTATATGTGAAGAGACTCTCTGATAGAGAAAAGAACCACCCAAGACACTTGAGGGAACACTCTACAGAGCGTGTGCACGTGCACACACACACACTCACACTCACACACACACACACTACAGTCACAGAAGAAAGGCCTGAGTTACAGGGCATGAAGTGGAGTCCTCAGAAGAGCTTTGCCTCAGTACTGGAAAAATGTCACCCTCGACAAATGGCTGCTAGGTCTCAACTATGAAAGTGTAAAAGCAAACAGAAAATCCAAGCAGGCTTCAAGTAACTTTACTGAATTCGACAATAAAAGACAAAGGTAGAGAATGAAATGCAAAAGAATCCTAAACCCAGCAGGTAAAATGTGCAATATCTTCATCCTGTCAATATTTCCTGTGGGGTAACCAGAAAATCTATGCCATGTCATGCAGAAAAATAAATCAACCCAAAGTGGCAATAAAATTGCACACATGGTAGACCTCGTAGGCAAGGATACAAAAGGAATTCCTAGAACTCTGTTCTATTTCACTTGTTCATGAGGATACAGGATTGGCCAAGTATGTAAAGAGGAGACATAAAAAATACAGAAGAAAGAGTCACCAATGTCAGTCACTTTCCACTAGAATGTCCACACATGGAAACAACCTCACTGAATTTAAGGAATCCCAGCCTGAAAACACTGTCCGCAGAAAGTCTCTGAGACTGTAGACCACCCGACCTTGTGCCGGTGCCTCCAGGAACTCCAGAGCCTCCAGCTGGACAGCGACAATGTGCAGATGTGGCTACGATGGGATCACTGGTGAGGCCCGGCCTGGTAGGGCCTGCCCTGGGCTGCCCTGTGGTACCTGGGGGCGCCTTTGGACTTGGCCAATGGCACCTGGGCTGAGGGATGAGCCTGCATTGCATCGTGGGAAAAGGCTCTCACTCTGGGCCCCACCTCCTCACAATCATATATGCCACCTCTCTGTGTGGAGCCAGAGGGGTTCACATGTGGCACAGACTGAAGCCTAACTCCATGATCCCTGCCCTCCCAGGTGGCAGGCATTCTGGGGTCACCTGGAGGAGGGAAGCTCCTGGGCTCCGTCTTCCTCACCAGCAGGGGGCAGCAGAGCTGCAGACGGAAGAGGCTGGGTCTGCCCAGGAGGAGGCTAAGAGGGAGGCCAGCCCTGAAGACTCAAGAGGTGTCCAAGGATCAGTCCTGAATCTGGAAGTTCAGTAAGGTGCCTCGTATCCCCTCGGGCTGCAGGAACCCCGTCCTGAGGGTCAGACTCACACAATCACCCAGGACACCAACAGGAGCCTGGACACAGTGAGGGCCTCACCTGGGAAACGCAGCTGGAGGTGCTGGGCCCTGGGGTCAGCCTGGGCAGCTCCCGCAGGGCTGGGATTCCCTGGGAGATGCCCTGAGGTCGAGGTGCTGTAGGAGGGGGTCACAGTGTGAGAGGCCGGAGCTCCCAGGGCTTGGGTCCTTCACCCAGGATGGCGGCCTGAGCCTCCTGCCACTCTCAGGAGCCTATCCCTGACTGCCCAGCAGCATCCTGGAGAGCTGAGCTCTCTGTCCTGGGCATTTCCAAAGATGCCCAACCCCTCCTCCCTCCACCTCTCCTTTTAGCTCCAGGCAGACTCTGACTCACAGGGCAGCTCTTGTGCTCTGGGGAGTCTCAGGTGGGTGTGGTGATGCATTCAGGGCCCTGGTCTCCGGATGGGACATCACCAGCCTCCTTGAGGAGACGCTGTCCAGAGGGAAGGGGACTCTCACCTGCCTCAGGCCACAGCTCTGACTATGGGGCTCTCCTTGGGTCAGTGACAGGGTCTGCCTGGCTGGAGGGTCAAAGGGCCACCCACCCTCCAGAGCTCAGGCTCTGTGCATGGACTGGTGTCCTGGGACTCTCACGGAGACCACAGGGCCTAAACTTAGTTTCTTAGTCAGGTCTGGGTTTGGGGGACTTTTTACAAGTTTACATGAAAGATTGATGGGAAAAATGTAAGGAATAGAAGAGGTGAAGATGTGAACTGCTAGGCTATTTGGAGGGATGTGGAGATGCCATAGAAGGAGCAACACCATGTGTGAAATGAGACTGGACTGTGTGTGATGAATGCACAAATGCAGCTGGTTTCTCATTACGCACACTGCCACATAGGACATGACCAGCAATGATCCTAATGACAGAAACACATTCTAATGAAATGACTGCAATGAGGAAATAAGTGATCTGGGGTGCCCAGAGGAGAGATGAAGGAGGAGGAAGAATAATGGATCCGTGGTCCACCTGCTGCTGAGTCAGGTGTCATCAAGGATCAGTCATCAGCAGGGCCCAGCTCAGCCCCAGACTGGGCTCCTCAAAGGTCCACAGCCCGCTGAGCCTGTCCCTGGACAGACCACAGGATACCATAGTTTGAGAAAGTGACCATGTGGTCAATTCCTGGGGAGGTTACTGTGATCACAGACCTTGGAGCCCAAGGCTGATCTTCCAACCAGAGAAGCAGAAGAAAGAAGCCAGGGACCCACCCCTTCCTCCTCAGCCTCCTGCACTGCCCCCACAGCTGGTTTTAGACATCCCTCACTGAGGAGTCCCAG